AAGCATCAGTTCAAATGCTTGATGTCCTGCTGTTGCTGATGATGATGACTTGGCGTCCTCCTGTAGCTGGCCAGCGATGGACCCAAATTGACCACATAGACATAAGTTACAGGTGGCGTGATTCCATCCTTGATTGCCGCTCGTACTAGAGTACCTGCGTCGACTCTGATCATGCCTTGGTACGTTGTCGTTTCTCCATGAACTTTACCGGTAAGCGCACCAAGTGTCCCCTACGATTGGCAACGGAGAACTTGTCTCAGTCCTCGGTCAGGCAAGCCTATCAAAAAGCACTGCATACCGAACTTTCGCTGTCTTGTCCTAATGACACTGAGCTTCAATCGAATAGGATCTCGGCCGCCATGCACGATGCATTAGCGTCTGCTTGTAGCACTCAATAGTCACCGCACCACTCACTGGATATCCGAGAGGTCGGTGAATCTGTTGGAATCTAGAAGACACCTCCCGGCTGGCTCTGAACACAATGTGACCAGACGGGCTATTAGGCGTGAACTAAAGCAGAGCCTACGTGCTGACAAGGAAGCGTGGTAGACAAGTAGGTCTCAAGAAATGGAGGAGGCAGGAGCAGTAGGCAATTACCGTAAGCTCTTCCAGCTAATCCGCACCACTGTTCCCAGAAAACCAGGCCTCAGTGACACAATCACAGACAGCGCGGATGCGCTGATACACAATAAGGAGCGCCCTATGGCTCATTGGGCGGAACACTTTCAAGATCAGTTCAGCTGGCCCCTCTACTCCCAGACCTCTTCCTACTCAGGTGATGCAAGACGAGCCATGGACGGTTAGTTTAGAGCCACCGTCGGAGGCCGAGGTCCGAAACGCGATCACAGCCCTTAATCGTTTTCGTTCCGCTGGCCCGGATTCCCTCCCACCTGCACTATTTAAGGATAGAGCTGAGGTCCTCTGCAAAACACTGACTTCCTTATTCGAATGTGTCTGGACGTGTGTCCCGGCTAATTGGAGCGAATCGATTATAGTGGCAATATACAAGAAGCGCAGTCGCACAGACTGTTCTAACCACAGGACTATTAGCCTAACGCCAGTTGTGACAAAATTATTGGCCTGGCTTTCGTTCGTCGCCTCATTGCGGAACGGGAATCTCGGATTAGGGAAGAGCAGGCCGGTTTCCGCCCAGGACGTGGCTGTATAGACCATATATTCACTTTGCGGTAGGTGCTAGAGCAGCGCCACGCATACCGCAGACCGACAATAGCTGTGTTCCTCGATTTCAAGAGCGTTCAATTCAATCGATCGATCGATTCTGTTCGAAATACTTGCGCGGAAAGGTGTTCCCACGAAATATGTGAACATCCTTCGTGCTCTATACTCGAACACTACAGGTCGCGTCAGGGTCTACGGTGACCTATCGGATAGCTTTCCGACCACAAGTGGCGTTCGTCAGGGTTGTCCGATTTCCCCATTTTTGTTCAATTCCGTCGTGGATTCTATCATGGAGTGTTCCCTTGCGGAATCTCACGATGTAGGCGTTGAAGTGCTGCCTGGTGAAAGGTTACTTGATCTAGATTATGCGGACGATATCGTCTTGCTTTTCGACGATGTTGGGGCGGCACAATCAACCCTGAATAGCCTCTCTGCAGTGGTCCCATTATTTGGTATGCACTTCGCACCTTCAAAGTGCAAAGTGTTGCTGCAGGACCACCAGCCACTTGATGACCCCTTGACGTTTGCTAACGAGGAACTCGAGGTGGTTGATCATTTCACTTATATTGGCAACCGTATCAGCAATGATGGGCGCATAGAAACTGACGTCAGCTCATGCATTGCAAAAGCCAGAGCTACCTTCTTGAACCTGCGTCATCTTTGGCGACAGAAGGGAGTTCCCCTCCGTCTGAAAGGCCGTGTATACAAGGCCACAGTGAGGACCGTTCTGCTCTATGGTAGTGAGACTTGGACCCTTCGGTCTGAAGATCTGAGGCGTCTTCAAGTCTTTGATCATCGTTGTCTGCGAAGCATTGCTGGAGTCGGATGGCACCAGCGTGTCCGCAATGATGATGTGCGTAGGCGAATACTAGGTGGAGATAATCATGCCAACTCCCTAGAACAACAGATAGCACTGAATAAGTTGCGTTGGCTCGGGCACGTGATACCTATGCCTGGTCATCGCTTACCTAGGAAGACTTTGTTTAGTCTGTCAGGTGTAGGGTGGTGCAAGGCTCGAGGTGGACAGAAGTTGACTTGGCAGCGGTAAATGAAGTCACTGACGACCATACTGGGTGCCGTTGGTCCGTCTCGCCTTCCGGGCTGGAGCCCACGTGACTCGCCTTGTGCTTGCCTCGAGACTTTACAGGACATGGCTCGCCACCGACACCAGTGACGCGTCTGCTGCCGTCTCCTGGTTGAATTGCCTGTTTAAAGTGTGTTTGGTGCTGAGTTATCTGCGGGGTAATGGCTGATTATGACGCGTGGCAGTGAAAGCCGCAAGGAAGCTGTCTCGCCGATGCTGCCTTATCTTTGCACGATAGCTAGCTGTTTGTGACAGTATGTTGTCTACACAAGGTGTAGGCGCCTTGATCCTGAATGTTTGCTTAGGGCATTAAGGTTTTCAGGTAAGTACCCTTCTCTCCTTTTTATTATTCTTTATTTCATAGGTCCTCATGGTTGTATGACAGCGAAGCACCAGTTCAAATGGCTGATGTACTGCTGTTGATGATGCTGCTCTTGGTAACCATCGTAAGTTATTCCGGCTGATACGGGAATCCGGCAGCAGAAGACCTGGTGGTAGTGAAACGATTTGTGATGAGAGTGGATAGCCTATCCACAACTTGTCAAAACGCTTGGAGCGTTGGGCCGAGCACTTTGAAAGGCAATTTAATCGGACGGAATTGTTAGCTTTCTCGCTTGCCACTGATCGCCCCGCCCCATGGGCTGTCCCTTTGGATCCACCCTCTCGCTCAGAAGTCGAACGTGAGATCGCACTGTTGAAGTTAAGTGAAGCCGCGGGACCAGATGACCTTCCTCCAGCCCTCTTCAAATTCGGCGGACCTGCTCTTGTGGGTGATTTACACGAGTTACTAGTGAAACTATGGAGCCGCTTCGTCATGCTCCCAATTTTCAAGGGAGGCTCACGATCGGAATGCGGCATCCATAGAGGAATCAGTCTGATCTCCACCGCTTCCAAATTGCTTGCCTCTGTCATCCTTCACAGACTGACTGGCGCTCGTGAAAGCCAGAATCATGAAGAGCAAGTCGGATTTCGTCGAGGTCGTGGCTGCATTGACCACATCTTCACTTTGCGTCAGTTGTTGGAGCACCGTCACACATATTGGCGGCCCACCGTTGTCATGTTCCTCGATATCAAATGTGCCTTCGATTCGGTAGATAGACGTGCACTTAGGGACTGTCTACTCAGGAAAGGTGTACCTGCGAAATATGTAAATATTATCCGAGCATTATACGCGCGTAGCTCGGTCAGAGTGATGGCTTACGGCAAGCTGTCGTCACCCTTTGATATCTCCAGCGGTGAGACAAGGATGCCCGCTGTCACCTTTCCTCTTCAAATTCGCTGTTGATGAAGTCATGGAAATCTCGTTTACAAGACACGACTCAAAAGGTGTGGATCTGCTCCCAGGAGAACGATTTCTTGTCTTAGACTATGCTGATGAAATTGCCTAATCTGTGACAGCTCACAAACATGCCAAGCGGCACTGGACAGATTAGCACTGGTTGTCCGTCACTTCGGGCTTTGCTTCGCACCCTCGAAGTGCAAAGCGTTCCTCCAAGATTGGTCTGGACCGCCTACGCTGACCGTTGGTGGGAATCAGCTAGAAGTCGTTCAAAAATTCAACTACCTGGGAAGTTGTATCAGCACCCGTGGGATTGAGGATGAGATCACGAACCGTATAGCAAAAGCTCGGGGCGCTTTTGCTAAACTTCGCCACTTAAGGCACCGGCGCGACATCACTCTTGCCCTGAAGGGTAGAGTGTTCAATGCAGCAGTACGTTCGACCCTACTGTACGGTTGTGAAACCTGGCCGCTTAAAGCAGCGGACCTGAAGAGGCTAGTTACATTCGACCACCGGTGCCTTTGCAATTTAGCTCACATCTGGTGGGAACACCGAGTTAGCCACGATCGTGTTCGACACCTTGTTTACGGCACGGGAAATGGAAATGAACCGCTCAGCACCGTTATTTCACGCATCAGGCTCCGATGGCTTGCCACGTGTTACGCATGCCAGCCCACCGACTCCAGCGACGTGCGTTGTTTGCTCACCGGGGGTGTGGATGGAAGAAGAGGAGGGGTGGCCAAGCGATGAGTTGCTCGAGAGAAATGAAGGCCCTCACTTCGGAGCTGGCCTCGGTTGGAGCGTGTCGGCTCCCTGGTTGGGGTCCGAAAGACGATAAACACTTTTGGCTGGATACACTTGCTGATATGGCTAGGAACCGACCTCAGTGGCGTTCGTGCTGTGATTTTCTTTGTCCCACCCCATCCCTCCTAGCCTCCCCCTCCAACCACGATCTCACTATTTAGCCTCATAATTTTGCATAGTCACTTTTTGATGCACACTAACCGGCTGGTAGCTTATCGGAAGGATGCCCATCCGTTACCGGTAGCTCAGCCTGCTTACACCAATCGCTTTTTTTTCTTATTTCTTTTTGTGTTGCGGCACAGTAGCTGAGGTGTTTCCCACCTCTAGCTAAGGTGTATAATGATGAATGATGATGATGATGGTACCACCAGTTTTGCACAGACCTGAGTACGGAGCAGTACGCAGCGCTGGACTCCAGCGAAAGTTGTTTTTCAGTTGTGCCAATTGCTGCAGCCGCCGAAAAAGCCGCGCGGCCTTTCGTACAAGAGACGAATCTCTTGATGCCCGGCTGCGAAATGTAGGGCGTTCTCGATGCTCTCAGCACTTCATCTTAAGATTCATCTCATGACGAAGCTTCCTGTCTCCAACAACGAAGATTTGATCGCTTACACTTGAGATCAGCTTGTGGCACCAATCATAGTGTCTTCCTTCCAGATGGATGCGCACTACAAAAATGAAGCTGCTTCGGATGTCGTATCTAAATCTACCCTGATCGACGCCGAATTGCAGGTTCATTGGTTTGTTGGTTGGTGGAGAGCAGAAGAAAGTTCATTTGTCTGCTCCGTCATTTCCCGATCGTCGCTGGGATCATTGCGGAACAAGGTTCTGCAGAAGACCGCTGTGGTTTTATTGCGGGCAGCAAAATCCCTGCGCAATCAAAGTGTGGAAATCCCACAGTCGTTTGAAACATTCCTGTCTCCGCATCGACAACAGCCTCCGGCAGGCTGTTCCAGTCATTTACTACCCGGGTGGATAGGGCCAGATCGGACCGCACACGGTGTCGCCCCGTTTTGAAAAGTTTCCACTGGTGGCCTCGAGTTTCACACTTTGTGTTGAGACGAAAGAACGATTCCAGCTCACCTCGGAGAATACCTTGAGTGAATATCATATCTTCGTGACGACGACGATGATCCAAAGGGAACTGGTTCAACTGTTGAAGCCGTAGGGGGTAAAATAAGTCCCGCAACTCTGGAACGGATTTGGATCCACGCCATTGGACCTACTCGATCCTATCACGTTCGGACTTGGTGAGAGGATACGCAGCAGACAATCGGTACTCGAGAATCGGGCGCACATGCGAAGCAAACAGTAGTCTGAAGAGGGCTGGGGTCAGGGGTGTGAAGGCTTTCCGTATAGTGTGAAGTATTCCGTAGGCGCACGCGACCTTCTTCCGGATGTCTTCAATTGATTTGAGATCAGGAGACACAAGCACCCCGAGATCCCTCTCCTTGTTGACATTTCTGAGCAAGAAACCCCAGACACGGTAATCCCCAAAGGCTCAGAAGCACAGATTGGAAGGACAGCGTATTTGTCACGGTTAATGGGCAACTGCTACTTTATTGACCAAGCCTGGAGCAGATCGAGTGTCTCTTGAAATCTGTCTGCATCTTCCAGACTGAATACCTCAATCCATCCGTGTAGATTAAGCAGTCGGTTTGCAGTTCGGATGGCAGATCGTTGCTAAAGATCTTGAAGAGTTCGGGACGGAGTACAGAACCCTGGGTACCCCACTGGTCATGAGAACTTGATCAAAAAGCGCTTTGTTCACTTTAACCTTCATGGAGCGACCGTCTAGGAAATCGGAGACCCAAGAAAGAAAATTGCCGGTGACGCCGATTCTCCGGAGTTTGAAGATGAGCGGCTCATGCGGGACCTTGTCAAAAGCCTTACTGAAATCAAGAAACACAACATCTAGAGTCTTACCGGCCTCTAAGGATCTTGCCAATTTTTCCATAGCCACCAGCAAATTTGTGGCGAATGGACGCGCCCATCGGAAATCAAGTTGGGCATGAGGGTGGAACTCAAACTCATCGTGATGAAGGTGAAGGGCCCGTTCCAGAATCCGTTCCATGACTGCAAAATTGAAGTCAGGCAGATGGGACGATAGTTGGCTGGATTCTGTCTGTTCCCTCCTTTGTAAAAAGGTTTAACGATTCCCACCTTCTGTACAGTTGGAAGCCACCCGAGCTCAGAGGAACGACGGAAGATTAGACAGACAGGAGCGGCAATGTGTCCAGCCACGGTCTTTAGGAACAATGGGTGTAAAACATCAGTACCAGGCGGGGAATACGGGTCTAGGGCAAGAAGAAGTTTCATTACAACATCAGTGTTAACATTCACGTGCTCCAACTGGGAAGGAGAAGTGGGCGCAACTCTTTCCGTGAGTGGCGTTTCGGTCGAGTAGACAGAGGAATATTGCTGGGCCAAAAGGCTAGCTTTCTCAACGCCTTCGTAAACTAGATCCAAGTGCTCACAGGGAGACAAGGCAGGGACACCACTGCCAGCCTTGGTGCTTCCTTTTAGGTATGAGAAGAGCGCCTTGGAGGTTGTACAAGGATGCGCAGCTAATGCTAGCTCATAGTTTTGGCGTTTCCCACATTTTTTCATGTTGCAAGCCTTCCTGACCGTTTTGTAGTAGCAGTAGTCAAGCTCAAACCGCGTAATTCTGAAACGATCCCATAGTTTACGTCTTCTTTTCATCACTGACCTCAATTCGTGATCGATCCAAGGAGGGCATTTGAAGAAGGGTTATCTTTTGGAGAAGGGAATAATTTGTACAATGAGCAACAGCTTGGAGTACAAGTGATTCCACGCTTCGTCAACATTGAGATGTTCAGGGATACTCCAATCGACGTTTTCAGACGAAGTGTATCTGCACGCCAGAAATTCCGCCGGTCGGCTCGTTGGCTGTGAACATCGAAGCGACATGTCCACTGGAATGAGACAGTACAGTGATCACTGCTGCCAATGGGCTGTAGGACTGAAAGGTTTCTTGATGTCTGATTGTGCTGGGGAGAGCGCGAGATCCATGATATGCGGCGTCTGATCTGGAGGCATACATGTTGAAGCAAATTACAATGAAGTATGGTCTCAAGTAAGTTGGCTTCGAAGGACACTGTAGGTCGGTCACAAACAAGCCGGTTCCAGTCACCCGAAGAAGCATTGAAATCCCCAATGACAAGACAATGCTTTCCTGCACCATGCCTCCTGATCGAGTCCATCAAGCCAGCTCCGGATTCTGAAGGCGCTCTGTAGATACCAAATCTGAGAGAACTCCGTCCATCATGAACACGATACCAGAGGGTATCGAACTCGTCGTTGTCACTGATCGCTTCGACTACATGTACTTTGTTATCAGTCTTCCAATAGACCATTACGACCGCCGGACCTCCCTCCTTGTCGGTCGGATCGGGAGCGGTGGTAACCGAGGAATCCGTGATGTCTGAATATCCGGGTTTCAGTGAAGGCCATCACGTCTGGACGGGTCTCTAAGGCAATCAACTGAATTTCCAATTTTTCCTTAGACTGCGCACATTGGCGGTCAACACGCGTAGTCCATTTGTATACTTTGTTGTCCCGGGATGAAGAGAACAGGCCTCCAGCAGGTTCTTAGGGTCTTCCGAATCACGCAAAAATCCACGATATGGAGGTCTGTTTCACCACTTCCTCGGCGAGTTCGTAGCTCCTCAACAGGCTTTTTCATTTTTATCCGATTTTCTGGAGAAAGATCACGTAGTGCGTAATAAGATTCGCCTTTGAGACGCGAGGTCCGTCCCAGGATATGTTGGCATTCCTCTTCTGTTTGGCACACAACTTTGAGGGGGCGAACATTGCGTGGATCCTATTGCTTCCTACCGTGTCGGAATTCCTTGTTCGCCTTCATCAAATAACACAGTGACCAACCGCTCGAGAAGTATTTGGTCATGCAAAATTCTTTCCGCTGGGGTGGCTTTGTTCGAATCGAATGCGTTCATAATGATAAGGCAACCGTTCCGAGAAGGTGGAGTGCGCTCAGGGATTTACGGTCTGCGAAAGGACGGATTATCTTTGATCACCTTCTCCAGCTCAGAAAGTCTATTGAGAACTAGCTTCATTTGCGACTGAGGTGCTGAGAGCTTAAAATTGGGTTTATCCCCGGATTTGGGATTAAACTTGGCGGCATTGGTGGCTGGGCTTTGACTGATTAAGTTTGGGGTCACATTTCCCTTCACTAGGGAAGGGTTATCCCAGGTGTTGGGTTTCGCCTTGGGCTTAGAGACCAGCTTCCGTGGGAGCAGGCTTTCAGTTGGGAACAGGCTGGTTGTTGTTGGAGCGATGGCACTCGCCACGACAGCATAAGTCTTTTGCCTATTTTTCAGGTAATGACTCGGCCGACGTAGCAGGGGGTGTGCGGCTTCACTTTGGTGTGGGTGTGGCAGACCCAGATGCAGGTAGGGATATCGATGATGCGGGTGACTCATCTTCCGTATTGTACACTGTCAGGGTGGCAGGACTACATATATTTGGAGTATGAGTGTTAGCCAGTAGACCTTTGTCATTCATTAAAACTCGATATGTCACAATGAGAGCTTACGACCTCAGAGGCAGTGCGCTGAAGGCATTCATATAGGACCTCATCGATGTTGCAGCATGTAGTGTGCGGTCACCCTTTCACACAGAGCGCATTGAACAGCTTTTGAGCGGGAGGTGACGCTTTTGCCACAGTCTCTTCACTTGGATGTCATAGCGGTTTGCCGTATTGATACAGGTTCATGAGTCCATTTGAGTAAGGCAAAAGAGAGGCTGGAAAGCCCGTAGGCTCTCTGCTAAACAAGAAGTTGTAGTTGCCTTGGCACCGGCAACAAGCCAAGTATCGTTACTTGTCAAGCCGTCTGACGGTTGTGCGAAGGCGAGTATTCCCACCCGCACTTCTAGTCAGTCGAAGGGGCCGCATATCTCGGCTCTCACCGATAAGGCACGTTCTAACGGTTTGCTTAGCACTGCTTAAAGTGACAAAGCGTCGATGGACCTTACTTTCGTTATTAAGAAGAAAAAGCAGACCAGCTATGCCACAAATCCTTTCGGTGGAGTCGGTGACCCGAAAATATGAGACTGACAATAAAGCGAAAAGTTTACGCTGCCGTTGCTACATCATCTGAGGAGATAAGGACATTTCCATCACCAGTGGTGCAGTTACCTGCTCCAAATGTCAAATCAAAGCTCTTGGGATTAATACACCCCGTCGTGGTGATTCTTTCACGGATAGTAGCGTTATGTTCCGTACCGCGGCTGCATCCACTGCTGATCGCATGTTGGACGACCTTCAGTGATTTAAACTCTGCGTAACGTGGCTCCTTCCGCCTGGTTTTACCGGTGTTACTGTCAGGAACCTGATTAGACTGGGGAACATCCCAGTTGATGCATCAAACCCTCGATCGCGGCTACTTCATGTTGTACTTTACCCCGGAGGAACGCAACGCTCTCATGCGGTTTGCTTTTAAGCTGAAAGGTCCTAATGTTAGTGTTCAGCCGGACCTTCCGCTGGTCGATAGGCTGAAGCTAAGCGCGGCCATCAACGACCCCAAAAGCAGACGAGCGGCCGGTGAATAATCTCTCCGGTTAGTGGGTTTTTGGGTAGTCAGCCGGTGGTCGTTTTCGTCCCTACCAAAGCCCCTTCCGGTAGCGCACGAACCAGGTCTGGACCCAACGAATACGTTCAGATAGTGCTAAGTAATGTGCGTAGCCTAAGGAGTAAGGTGTACGAGTTAGGTCTGCTGGTAGACGGGTCTTATCCCGAGATACTCGCATTCACTGAAATGGGGTTGTCTCAGGACATCCAAGATGGTGAAGTACATCTATCTGGCTACACTATTTAGATGCGGTTGCTCCGCTGGCCGGCATGGAGGAGGCGTCGCACTTTATGTGATCTGTAAACTTGACGTTTTGAAAACTTGCTTATTTCAGTCGGCAGCCAACACTGTTGAAGCTCTGTCGGCTGATTAGCAAATTCTCGCCTCAGGTTATGGTTGTAATTG